CCCCGTCTGTTATGGAGCGCCAGGGGCAGCTCTGCCCCGCTGCAGCAGTGTCCAGCCCGGAGCCTTCTCCCATGGGATCTGCTCATCTGTGGGTTCCTCTTGCTGATTCTCTCTTCCTTCTCCTTTTGTCTTCCCAGCTCAAAGCCCCACAGTGGCAGATCCCCTCCAGCAAGCCTACGCAGGCATGCAGCACTATGCAGGTCTCAAGCTTTGCTTTGCTTTCTTCCCTCTCTCTCCTCATTTGCTCCTCACCCTTATTTTTGGGGGGCAAACGTCACCTTGGGGTTGAACCACAGGATCGGTGCAGTGTGTTTGGGCACAGATTAATGCAGTGAGCAGCGGGTGCCATACCCCGGCAGGAGCTCCGGGGCAGCAAGGGGGTGATGCTGGTGCAGGATTCCATCCGCTCATTCCCAGCAACACGGATGTGCTCCCAGCACAGCCCTCCGTGCAGATTTTGTGTAGAGAAAAGTGAGTTTTAATGCCCACGGGGGAAAGCTGGCGGCAGTACCAGGAGAGGGGGTGAGGTTTGGGCGGTGATGGAGAGCTGGCTCCATGCCGGGATCCTGCTGCTGGAGACAGCCACGGAGGCACCAAGACATCAGAGATCCTTGGATGTTCATCATGTGGCCCAATCTGCTGGCCAGGGAGATGGGCTGCACAGAGAAGGGAGTCAAAGCATCCTGTGGAGGAACGTTGGGCCCAGCAGCCATTTCTTTAGAAGTACGACCAGCGACGTTCAGATTTTCCACAGAATCAAGTTTGGACCCCGAATTGTTGGGTTTTTCCAACCAAAAGTGCCGTCTTTCCTCAACCTTGAGGCCGTGTTACTGCTGCCACCACCGCCCCTCCTGGGAGAACTGTTCCTGCATCCCTGTCATGCCAGGAGGCCGGGGCCATGCCGGGGTGGGACGGGCAGAGCCAAGACCCCGGGGCAGCAGAGGCACCTCCATCACGGGTGGCAGTGGGGGACACCCCTGTTCCCGGCCCTCCCCAGGGGCTGGGGTGGGCACCGGGGCCTCAGCTCCACGTTTCTCTCTTGCAGCAGCGTATCCCACTGCTTACGCACCCATCAGCCAGGCCTTCCCCCAGCAGGCGCCCATCATCCCGCAGCAGCAGCGAGAAGGTGAGGAGTTGTGGGGAGCACCCACCGCGGGGCCAGTGGCTCCTGCCCCCCCGGTGCACCACGCCTGATGTGTGCCTGTCCTTTGTGTGTCACCAGGTCCCGAGGGCTGTAACTTGCAGCAGCGTATCCCACTGCTTACGCACCCATCAGCCAGGCCTTCCCCCAGCAGGCGCCCATCATCCCGCAGCAGCAGCGAGAAGGTGAGGAGTTGTGGGGAGCACCCACCGCGGGGCCAGTGGCTCCTGCCCCCCCGGTGCACCACGCCTGATGTGTGCCTGTCCTTTGTGTGTCACCAGGTCCCGAGGGCTGTAACCTGTTCATTTATCACCTGCCCCAGGAGTTCGGGGACGCGGAGCTCACGCAGATGTTTTTGCCTTTCGGCAATGTCATCTCTGCCAAAGTCTTTGTAGACCGTGCCACCAACCAGAGTAAATGCTTTGGTAAGTCCCCGTGTGCGGCTCTCCTTGATGTCCCAGCGCAGAGGTCCAGCTCTTCCCAGTCCCCAGCTCAGGGGTCTGGGGACAACATCCCAACTCAGGGGTCCGGCTCCCCTCAACATCCCAGCTCCCCCTGGGCTCCAGCTTGGAGGTCCAGCTCTCCCTGATGTCCCAGCTCAGGGGTTTGGCTCTCCCTGATGTCCCAACTCAGGGGTCTGGCTCTCCCACCATCCCAGCTCAGGGTCTGGCTTGGGCAGCACTGACTGACTGAAGGTGCATGGTGGCTGGGGCAGTGTGTCTGTCCTGGGGCCACAGGGCATTTTCATGTCCCACACTGTGCCAGGACAGAAGGACTTGCCCTCCTGCTGTCCCCTGTGTCCTCAGCCCAGTGTCCCCTCCTGGCAGGGAGGGCTGGTCACTGCGTGCTGCTGCCATGTGGCTGGTCCCTGTCTGCTCTGCTCATGTGGCCAAGTGTCACTGCTGCCACCAGTGTGCTCTGGCCTGCAGATCTGCCACCCTGGTGTCCCCACAGGCCCTGTCACCCTGGTGTCCCTGCAGACCGTGTCAGTCCAGTGTCTTTGGAGGACCCACCACCTGGGTGTCCCATGAACCCACACATCCCATCCTCGTGTCCCTGCAGTCCCTGTCACTGATGGACCCTGTTGTCCCAGTGACCCCACAGGCCCCATCACCTTGGTATCCCTGAGGACCACTCCAGTGTCCCTGTGGGCTCCATTATGCTGGTGTCCCCACAGAGCCTGTCACCTCCACGTCCCTGCAGATCTTCATGTCCCCAAAGATGCCATCAGCCCAGTCCCCTGCATTCTGGGGCTGTGCTGCTACCCCACTATCCCCTCTCCCAGCATTCCCCAACCTGGGGCTGCCCGTGGGAGCATCCTGCGGGATTTCAGCGCCTCGGTTGAAGCGTCAACCTTGGATGTTTTTGGTGACAAACTCATCCTTCGCCCCCAGGTTTCGTCAGTTTTGACAATCCGACGAGTGCTCAGGCAGCCATTCAGGCCATGAATGGCTTCCAGATCGGCATGAAGAGGCTAAAAGTCCAGCTAAAGCGGCCGAAAGATGCCAACAGACCCTACTGACCCCTGCTCGCCCTGGCCCTGCGGAGAGGTGAGGGGGATTGGGGGCCTGACATGGCCCAGGGGACCTGGCCGTGGGGCTCTGCTCGTGCCGTGTTCCCTCCCACGGTGTCCTCGGGGGTCTCTGCACCCGGGACCAGCTGCACGTGTGTTTGAGTGGGGTTTGTGTCCCTCTCCCCATCCCTCTCCCCAGGCGTGTGCTGAGGCTCTGTTGCTGTTTTGCAGGTTGGGTGTCCCGGGGTGTCTGATGACTTTCCCCTTCCCCAAGTGCAGTATCCAAACCCGTAACTCTCTTTCTTTGCAACACACCCCGGAGGAGGCAGAGGAGGAGGCGATGGAGAAGCAGCGAAGAAGAGAGCCATTCTGGTCGTAGCTTTTCTTTCCTTTTTTGATTACTTTTACCCCAAACTGGTCTTGTTTGTTACTGAACGGGAACAAGAGTGAGGAGGACAAGGAAGGAGGAGAGCGACGCG